AAATCGTATTTCAGAATCACCTTGTGTGCTTGTGACTGGACAGTATGGTTGGTCTGCTAACTTTGAGCGTATTATGAAAGCACAAGCTCTTCGTGATTCAAGCATGTCATCTTACATGGCATCAAAGAAAATTATGGAAATCAATCCAAACCATCCAATTGTTAAATCACTCAAGGCAAAAGTAGAAACTGACAAGAATGACAAGACAGTTAAAGATCTTACATGGCTGTTGTTTGAAACTTCACTTTTACAATCAGGGTTTAGTTTGGATGAACCATCATCATTTGCTGGTAGAATATTCAAAATGATTAAACTTGGTCTTGATATTGGTGACGATACAGAGGCTGTGGAAGCTGAGGAAACAATTAATCCTATTGATGAAGCTTCGGTTGAAACTTCTATGGAAGAAGTAGATTAAATTATAAAAAGTCGTCATGATTTAAATTCATAAAAAAAAAAACACGATAATGACGGACTTTATATATAATCTATTTATCAATATGTTAATTTATTTTCTTAACTACGGCGTGTTAAATAAATATATATATATATATTAGAGTTTAATTTTTATATTATACATAAATATAATAAAAATTTTGATTAAAAATTCAAGTCGTTATAAAAACAAATTTATTTATTTAATAATTTAAATAAATAATAGATACAAATAATATAAATAATATAATAATTTTTTTAATTTACATTATAGATCTTTTTCATTTTCTTCATCAAGTTTTTTCAATAATACCACGACAACAATATTGTAGCTGTTGTTAAAAAAATAAGCTCCAAACAGCAAAATGAATTCCAGATCCAGTTTGTTGTTGGCCAAGACCAGGTATTGATGCAATGACATTAAACACCCAAACAAATAACAAAATATCAAATTATTTACATAATAATAAATTGAAAGATAATGCAGTTTATACCTTGGCCATTTAGGCAACTTTAATACCCATCTACTTTTACTAGAAGCGAGGAAATCAAATAGTAAATTTCACTCCAATGAAATTTATTTACATAATAATATCCGAATAAACTTCATAATCGTATGTACAGTATAATACGTAAGAAAAAAACCATAGTTACGGCCATCTAGATAACTTCAATACCCATAGAGTCTTAATACAATTTCTTCCGATTTATACTAAATCGTAACAAATAATCTTCGCGTTAAACAATTCCTTGCTAAGCAATACTAAACAATATCTTCTCTAGCTGTTACTCCCTACTCAAGTCAATTTATTAAATATTACCTCATTAAAAGAAAAGAAAAGAAATAAAAATAATTAAAAAAATAAAGACAAGTATAAAATAAGAAAAAATAATTATACACGGGATTAGTATGAGTTCATTGTTGGATTTATTATCATTACAAAAATATAATATTCGAAGATAAAAACAAGTACAAGTACAAGGATAAGAACTAGGATGTTATTTATTAAATGATTATTATGATGATTGGTTAGGATAATGAGGATGAGGATGATACATGAAGTTAAGAAAATTACAACGTGATTTATACATCTATCATCTAGTTCTCCGATTTCTTTGAAATCCTAATTTGTTCTAATTAATACATTATTTGAACCTTCCACGTAGAATTATCTTCAAGTTAAGAAAAGTAATTTGAATTCCTTCGTTTAAATTTAATCTGAGAATTAAAGGTCTGTTGCATTTTAAAATGTTAGAATATTTACTTCTCCGTTGTTTGAGGTATATTTTCCATGAGTCAATCATTTTATTGGTGGACTGATTTCAATTTTCTTTATTATTATACCATGATTCATAAAATTACTATTTTACAATTTTTGTGAAGTGTATCAGATGAAACCTCAACTCCTCAGCATATTTTTTTTTGAGACCGTATATATGCACAGGATCATCAATTTATTAGATGTTTTTCTCCATATCTTTGCTGATCCTGATATTCCTTTTCTTAGCTTCCTCATTGCAAGAGGAAGAAAAAGTTCCAAATAGATACTACTGGCTGGCAAATCGTACATGTCGAATTTCTCTTTCAGGATTCCTAAGTCTAGCTTATCGCCTGAATCACAAAAAGAAAAATATCATTTGACGCATATTTAATAAAATTATTTAATTATTGTATATGCACATTCACATGCTGGTAAAATGAACAATTAAAAGAATTCTTACGAATGATTCAGATCCAATGTTAAAGAACCTTCTAACCATCATCATGACCTATTTAATTTCTTGAATCATATCTTCGAATTCTGCCAAAACGCTTTAAAGTTTGACTTTACAAATTCTTTGTTATCCACTCTATCATACGCAGTACTTGTGCAAACCTTCTCAGCACTCACAGTCTTAACAAATACAATTGATGATAAAACAGAAGCCATTTTCAATTAAAAATAATTTGTCTGTGTGATAGATTATTAAAAAAACTTTTAAAAAATAAGTTTCAAAAGATATTTAAAAAAAAGGTTTTAAAAAATAAGTTTCAAAAGACATTACGTGTCATTATTATAAATTTATTATTATCAGATTTTATTATTATTATTTTTATTTTTATTTTTATTTTTATTTTATTGAAAAACCATCAAGGTAAAAAAAGATGGTTATATATATCTAATAAGCACGGTTGATGACTACTTAATAGTCGCGGAGATTTTGTCACCATTGCTATCATGTTATCCTACAGCATTATTGTTGTTTGTATTTAATTCTTTCCAATTAATTCAATTCATTACACTGTTTAAGAAGCGATTAATTGTAGTCATAATACGAAAGATCTCGTTACATTGTTTAAAAAAAATGATTTTTTTTTTGAGATAGGATTTCCATGGACAATTATAATTAAAAAAAGTGGTCAGCTTCAAAATATAATTTAAAAAAAGTTAACCAATAGGTTTTATTATTTATGATTCAAGCTTCAAAACATATCAGCTAGTTTTTTCTTAAACTAAAAATTGGCAGAGCTTTAGCATTTGAAGATTTCAAATTTTTGTTACACGCTTAAGAAATTTTATCTAAAAAATTTTTTACAACATGTATCGATTTATGGTAATGATAAAAGTTCACTACAATAAAAAAGTTTAACATAAAAACATCAAAAAAAAAAAAATCGTGCAACTAAGGAATTTTTTTATTAATAAAATGGAAATGACTCTATTTTTGCAATCTTTAACCTATGCAACAATGAAATAGAGTTTTTTTAAATAAAAAAAAAGCCTTAATGGTTTGAAGTAAATTCTTTGTACACAAACTTTAATTACTGGTCAGCGACTCGGAAAATATTAAATTCTAATGGCGAAGGAAACATCAAAACACCATTTAATGCTAGTAATAAAAGATTATTCAAAATTAAAAAGTTTGTAGAAAAATTACCAACTATAGTGATGTTAGCTGGCTAAGGAACTTTTAAGGCTAAAAAAAAATTTCTCTTAACATTCATTTTTACGTCTGGAATTTTAGTGCAGAATTCAGTGGCATAGACATTTAGTTGAGATGGGTCCATTTGCATTACTTAGAATGACAAAAATAACATACATTTGCTCAAAAATAAAACACAATACATCATATCAGGATACAATCATTCTATTTGAATTATTTGTCCTATTCGAGTTATTCGTTCTATTTGAATTATTTGTTCTATTTGAATTATTCATTCTATTTGAATAATTTGTTTTATTTGAATTATTCGTTTTACTCGTTTATTCGAATGTAATTCGGGCACACAAATAATTCAAATAAACCTTATACCATTAAAGGCGGAGTATTATAATAACAATAATAATACTGGCAAGTTCAGTACCATTTGAAAAGTTTTTTCATCAACTGGGATTTATTTGAGTTTTTAGCCGCCTAAGAGTTGTTTGGCTTAGCCGGCTAGAATAACTATTAATTAGATTAAGAAAATGGATTATTATTAATTTAATAGCTTTACTTTTTTTATAATTATAGCTAATAAGAAATCAGCCAATAAATTAACTGTCATTATTATTATCATTATTGCTTTTTTCTCTGTAGCTACTGCTGCTATGATTATTGCTACCATTAAAATCTCAACAGCAGTCATAAAAACAATCTTTTGTCACATTTATCACCATTTGGATCCTGTGAGGTTACTGTTTACAACATTTATTGGAATGTTTGAGTTTTGATGAACATGATAATGACCAGAATAGGTTTTGCTAGGAATAGTAGGAGAACCCAACTGTTCATTAGAAGGAATGCTATTTTGATAATTCATTGCGTTTTTAATTTTTATATTATATACATGTATAAAAGGCAATAACTATCTTTCCAGATGAAAAAATGAGAAGAAATAATGATTTATTTAATCAAAATAATTAATTAGTTAGGTTAGTTTGGCAAGCGAATGGATTCTTTCACTGGCAAGAGTTAAAAAAAATATTTATGTTTGTATTTTATTATTAAGATATTATTGTTACAAGATAGAGATGAAAACTAAAGATTACATTATTTAAAGGTCCTATCACCTAGTTCTTTGATTTCTTTGAAATACTAAATTATCCTAATTAAATGTATTCATTAAACATTATTCGAACCTTCTGTGTAGGATTCCTTCAAGTTATCTCTGGTCAAAATCGAGTAATTTGGATTCCTTTGTTTAAATATAGTCAGTGATGATCGCTTCCGATTTTCACTATTAGTTTCCTGTGATTTATACTATTATTTTACAGTACTGCTAAAGAACAGTAGACAAAAAATTCATTATATTCCCAATAGAAAAAAATGAATGAAGGTATTTTTTTCTTACACAGAAAATAACTATTTTAAAAATATGTAGCAACAGTAAAGGAATTTACATCATAATTTAATATTTTGCTTTATAATAAAATAATATTTAGCTAAATTCTATAAAGGTAAATAAATATTCCCTAACCTTGATCTTTAGAGATCTGCTTTTTATAAATGGAGTTATGAAATAGTTGAATGTATACTCTTGAAGATGCCAAACAAGTTGTATATAATAGGAATGGAACTGCTTTTCAACCGAATATAAAATCATGGTACATGGTGTCTCTATTGCTCAAAATATAAACGTGAAAATTTATGCCGTAAAATTATAAGTATCTTGGACCACAATCTGAAAATCGCAAACCAAATTTTTAAAAATACCAGAACATCCAACTGGATTACTTGATATTCCTTATGTTTTTGCTATAGAAGTACAGGGACAAGATGAAAAATATATCGAGCTCTTTCACAGGGACCCAAAAAATTTTATCAAACAGCAAGAGCGGGATCAACTCAAGAAAGAATTATGTGAAGAACTGGATTGTTTTAAGATATGTTTGGTATTACGAAGACCCATATGTAGTTATTTCAGAGCATCTTCGAGAATTGGGTCTTATTGAATAAACTTG